AAAGGTCTTTCACCTGCATGAAAGACAGGTGAGTGACAGGCCTAGTACTCGAGAGAGGGGCCTCGCCGAACCACCACTCATCCTAGAAGCTAACCTCCCCAGAGCCCAAGGTCCAAAAGATGTGCTTCTGAGCACGCCTGCCAACAATGGTGAGCCATCTCCACTGTCGACTATCCCGAGCGGTGGCTGTCACCCTGCAAGGATGGGCAACACCACCAGGGCAATATTTCCTCAGGAGGTATTGGGCCCAAAGGGACTTGTCCTCCCTAAGGCGCCACCCATCCTGTAGGAAGACGCAGTAACAACATCAGAGAAACGCCGAATCCCGAGCCCACCCTCAGAGTGAGGACGACATATGGAGTTCCACTTCCAGTGGGTCTGCCGCCGTCCCCGCGAATCCTCGCCATAGCTCCAAAAATAGCCGACTAAGATCTAATCTAACTCATAAATCGTAGACTGATGGGGGTCAAGCACCGCGAGAAGGTGAAGAGGGAGGGCACAAAGAGTACTCTTGATCAGAGCAAGTCGGCCTCCGAAGGATAGTTGTCTATGTGACCAGCCAGAAATCCGATCAATCATCCTCTGACGGACGTTAATGAACAGCTCATGGGAGAGATGGCATTTGTGCAAGGGGGCCCCAAGGTAAGGGATGAGTAAGTCCCCACGAGGAAATCAAGTGCGCTCGTGAATCTGGTGAGCCCAATGGTCTGCAACATGGTGGTCCATGATAAAGGTGCTCTTACTAACACTTACTAGTTGGCCAGATTTCTCACTGTAGTGGTCCAAAAGACTCATGAGAGCTACTAGCCCATTATCATTCGCACGAGTGAAAACGATAATGTCATCCGCATAAGATAGGTGGGAAATGGGAGGCCCACAGCCACGCGTGCTGTAGGTCATCCTCAAAAAATCGCGAATGAAGTTGTCAAGACAGCGAGAGAGATATTCAGCCACCAGAACAAAAAGGGAGGGTGATAAGGGGTCCCCCTGACGAAGGCCACGGGAAGAAGAGAAAAAGGTCGTGGGGCTACCATTAATCAAAACGGAGAATGTGCAGTGCTCCACACACGCCTCCACAAAGCTAATCCAACGGTTAGGGAATCCCATCCGAAACAGTACCTCTCTGAGAAACGACCACTCGACCCTATCATATGCTTTGGCCATTTCTAGCTTCAGCACGAAGTTCGAGGTTCGTGTTTGATTCGCATGAGAGATATCGTGTATCATTTTCTTCAGTATCTCTCCACAATTTAACTTTATAATTATACACTTGTTGGCGAGTAGCGTTGTCCATAGGGTTTTTCTCTTGAATCGTAGCCAAAATTGCTCCCAGTTTTGCCTGAGCAGCAGTCTTATCACGGACAATTCATTGGATGAATCGCTAAGCCCGCTCATATGTCAATGACCATCAGGATTCACAACCATCACATGATCATGAGTTCCCTTCTCTTCATCATGAGGTACCCAGATACACCATTTTTTAGATTGTGCTTCAAGTTTGACTTTTATCATAAAAGGGCAGTCGGTAGTTTTAGTCTTCGAACGTCTCAAAACAACATTCACAAAATTTTCTACTTTTGCTACACTGCCTTTGTAACGTTCCTCTCGATGACACCTCAACACCTTCTGATTTCCTTTCTTTTCGTGTTTCGAGATGACTAATTGGAAACCCCATATCAGTACAATATCTTTTGCCCATTTAATAGTTTCTTCACAACTATCAAATAGGTTGTAGTAAAACATTATCCGTAATCAAGACCGTCTCCTCCAAAATCTTCGAGTGACACTTGCAATATATTACGATGTATGTTAATAATTTTACAACATAATCAATTCTAACAAATTTATAACTCATAACATAATATCAATAAATTTTATTCTAATCTATAACTTAATAATTTATACTAATATATTTTTTTCCTATTATAATTAATTTAATTTTATAAACTATTAATTTATAATAATTATATTAAATACTAATATATATACTAATATATACTAATATAGTAGTTAGTTTAATCATTAGAATAATTGTACTAATTATTATACTAATTACTATGTTAGTATAAAAAAATTCCATTAGTAATTAGTATAATCATTATACTAATTACTAATAGAATTTTTATTATATATATTATTATAAATTATAATAGTATATATAAAATTATATTATTAATTACTATTATTATTTACAATAATTATATTAATTTGTGTTATAATTTTTAATATATATTATTTTCGTATATATATATATATATAGATTTTTTATTTTAACTTAAACATTTTTATTTAAAAAAAACAACAACAAAACCGCGTAATAAAAAAATAATAATCTGCCGCGTGCGGCCGCAAATAGAGCGGCCGCCCGCTGCTCGTGGCCGAATTGTGAAGAACCGGCCGCATTTAGAGACCGCGAAGTGGACGGTTGTTCGCTGCCAACCGAGTTGTGGCCGCAATGGACGGCCGTCCCAATTGTTGCGCCTCGCAATCGTCGGCCGACACGCTCGACTGCGGCCGCAGTCGTCGGCCGGCTAGCCGAGCTGTTTATTTTTAAAATCATTATTAAAAAAATTACTTGTGAATTGGAGGATCCTTTCCTGGTGCGTGAAGATTGTCCCGCCATTTTTTTGAATTTTTTCGGTTTTTTTTTTTTTTTATTGAGTTTGTGTTTTTTTTTTTCAAAGTTTTTTTTTTGCCAATGAAATGTTTTTTAAAGTGTTTGTATAAATTTTTTGGGTTTTAAGTGTTTGTTTTTGGTTTTTGGGTTTTTGATATAGGATATTATATACTCAAGGATAAACCGGCCTACTTGGCCGGTCGAGGAGGCTAAACCGGAAGCAAGTCGAGCCAAAAAGGCGGGAGAATTGACGCTCGAGTATCTCAAGGCTCGACCAGACGAGCAACCGAGCTACCCAACGTACGACCAGACTAACGATCGAGCAACCCATCGCTCGACTAGACGCATGATCGAGTAACCTATTCGACCTCAAAAGGTCGATCGTTTCGAGGAACTAACAGTCGGCCTTGTCATGGGCGCGTGTATCACGGGCGCGCGTAAGAGCCTCCAACTGAAAATCAAGAGAATATTTACCCCATGTGCAGGGGGACACGTGTCGACGATGTATTGGGTGACAGCGATAACCACCTCTGACAGCTCCCAACGCCCCGCGTCACCTCTGACATGTGCGCGGCGCCAGAGTACGGACGGGCAGCTTGGGCAGCTAGCTCATCCTTATCCGGGCAGCTATTAGGGCAGGTATCTCACCCCTATATAAAAGGGGTGAGCCTTTTTCCCTAGAACACATTCTATTCATTCTCTAAATTCCAGTATACTCATACACATACTGACTTAAGCATCGGAGGCTCTTCACCGGACACAACCCCCAGTGTGAGAGTTATTTGCAGGTTTCCGGCGTTCTACCGGCGAGGACAAGAACGGATCTACTCCAAACCGGACCAGGAAGCTTACACTTACATTATTGGCGTCGTCTGTGGGAATCTCTGTTCAAAAAGTTGTGTTTGAAGCTCAGCTATGGCGGACGGAATTCCTAAAAACTTGCAGTCGACGTTCAATGAAGCTTGGAGGACGACCAGGCCGTTGGGGCACGGCCCCCCTCCGGGCTTTTCTGGCCCATCGCAGACTCCGATCACTCTCGCACCTAACTTCCAAGGTGTAGGAGTGACGACGGTGATTCCCGGAGGAGATGCCAGCTCCAGTCAGGCCCAGGAGGCTCGGGTAGTAGCGGCAGCGGCGATGCCACCACCACCACCACCACCACCACCAGATCCAATACAACGGTAGGGAGGAGTGCTGGCACAAGGAGGAGTGCCACCGCAGGCAGCTGTACAAATCCCTGGCCAACAAATGATGGCAATGACCCGGGAGGAGATGCAAAGGATAGCGGCGGCCACGGCGGCCGCGGCGGCCACGGCGGTGCAGCAAGTTGCAAGTCATACTTCTCATGCCACCACTGAGCCGACCACTGTGGCCGGAAGCCAGGATGAGGATGTGTCTAGTTATGGAGAAGGAGGAGCTGGAAGAGATCGGACGATGGAGAAGATGGCGGAGCAGTTGCGCCAGCTACAAGATAAAGTGGAGGGGAGGCCAGAGAGGAGAACTCGAGGACATCCCTTTTCAAGGGAGATTCTCGCTGCTTCGTTGCCAAACAATTTCAAGGAGACCAACTTGGTGTATGACGGGTCATCTGACCCATCGAGGCATGTGAAGACCTTTGAAAATATGGCTGTGCTGCATGGGTACTCTGATTCTGTTTGTTGCAGGGCATTTCTATCGACCTTGCGTGGAGGAGCACTCGATTTGTTTCACGAACTTCCACCTGGGTCGATCGCAATCTTTGAGGATTTTTCTGGC